TTTCTCCATAAATATCGTTGCTATTTGCATAACAGATGATATTATATAGCGCGCTAGTTGTTCAGAAACTGCTATTAGACTCTTTATGTTTCCTTAACACAGTTATTATTTTTATTTGAAGTATTTTCGCTGAAAGTTTTAGTTTATGATGTCACGGATACGTATCGTAAATATTATGTAAGCAGCGTAGAAGGTTGTATTTTGTTGTTGTAATTGACTGCACGGTCGGCGTAATGGCTGGGCAACTAGATGATGTGTAGCGTCTTGTGCGTTGTCACACAATCATTGTTTCTGATCTGGGTGGTTTGTTTTAACATACGCACATTTGTATGTTTTCAACGTTTTTAAGTCCATTCACGATATAGGAGAAAATCTTAATGAGGGGCGAAATTTTTATAAAAAATAATAAAAATAAAGTTATAGTGCAAAAAAACAAGAGTTCACGATTCCGTAAAAAGTTAATATTTAATGAGCTAGTGCCAGTCAGTTTACAGAAAAGAAGAGAAAACTCAGCGTCTGCCTTTCTAGACATCATACCGGTACAGAATATATTATTTGTAATTATTTGACAATTGAAGTTGTATGTAATACATAAACTGAATATGTTTTCTTGCTTGTGTACCAGCTCATGCCATGAGAAAGACTGAGGTTTTAAAAGACAGTTCTGGCTCTTTTCATGTTAAATTCTTTTATAACATATACGAAGGCTAGACGGGAAAAGTATTGTACTCTACCTCCCCTCCACTATATTTGTTAGCATTCTTATATAATATACATTATAATACATAAGTAATTATTGCGCTGTAGCCTCGCAGTCATTACAGACAGCATAAATAATACATGGCGTGTCACGCACGGTCCGCTCATATCGTTCCTATGGAATATGGCGCCCCCTGTATATAAATCTATGAATTATTCCAGTGATAGTGCTCCATGAATGCCTGTTGGTGTGTAGTGCTTACCTCTTGTAGCGAAGGAAAATAATTTAGAAATACTCACAGATTACTTGGCTAAATCATTGAATTAGTCATTCATAATTCGAAAGTATGAGTGTGCCCACTTTTGAATTATTTAGAACCTTACTGGTCTTCAGTCTGTCTTTCTACCCCTTAGGGGACTAAAAAATGTGCATCTAACAAAGTTTACTTACGACACAGTAACAAAGTAATTTTAACGAGGAATTTGTACCATTATCCTGCATAATATATTACATAAAAAACTAACTTAGTTACAGTACGTATGTATATGCATCACTTAATAGTACATAAAGTGTCACCCATAAATCGCGTTCGTGTAATATCATCGTTCAGTGTGTTTGTGTGTATGTTTACGTATGTGTGGGTGTGCAGGAATGGGTTTACGACTTTTGATGCAGTTATGAGGTGTCGTTACCCGGTCGTGTGATGTTTCCTATAGAGCAGGGTGTGCATATTGCAGCATTCAGAGTAGGACGTTCTTATGGATATAAAGATTCAGTGAGTCGTCACAGGATTATAGGTTATAAAGTCTTTATGCACGGAAATGGTGTTTTTATGAACTTTTGTAGTCTTAAATAATATACAGTTAAATCGGCATTATTTTTATGAAAGTCAATTGTTGATTAAATTATTTCTATGAGGAATAGAGCATATTTCTTACAAACAAAAAAAAACGATTGCAAGTCCCAACAGTGCTGAGTTAGGGTGGCAAAATTGATATGTTATTTAGGAGATAATTAAACACATTTCTTGGATTGACAGTACGGTTACCAGCTCCAGTATAGACACAGATTATTTATAACAGTTTATAGATGAACGCAACTTTATGACCTCTACGTTAGCGGCAGTAAAAGTTTATCTCCTTGGTTATGGCCGCCCCGTGCACTAATGTGCGCAGGATTATAGTAATGCATCGATACTAGCGAGATAATGGACCATTACTTCGCCTGATATACAGCCTTTAGGTCAAATCGATACAGTGATACATTTTTAAGTAAAGCAATATTTTCTAAGTTTCCATTTATATAGTTGTTGTAGCTTGGAAGTAGAAGCAACCGGTTCTCATGCATGAAGTTGCGGGTTCTTCTGTAACATGACAAATATTTTCTGAGTAATATGTATTTACTAAGTTTATTTAGACAACATTGACATAAGTTTTGAAGAAAACTGCACGGTTGGTGCGGTGGCTGGGCAACTGGCTGCCGCGCAACGTGTCGCGGGTTCGATTCCCGCACGGAACAACACTTTGTGTGATCCACAAATTGTTGTTTCGGGTCTGGGTGTCACGTGTATGTGACATTGTATGTTTGTAAACGCACCCACAACACAGGAGAAAATCCTAAAGTTCGGCAACGTCTTTTTTTTTTTTAAAAAAGATGGATTTAACATCTGTAACTTTAAGTAATCGCCAATTAATGTTCAAGCCTCCGTGCGAGACAAGGTCTTTGCTCAGAAATAGACATTGATAGACTGATAACGGTCAGATGGCAAATCGACGTTTGATTTTCTTTTCGCAAAATAAAAATAAACTCCAATTCGACAAATTCAGTATGTTAAAGTACACAGCAACAAATCGTGTTGCTTGCATTATGTCCAAACCACTGTCACTCGTTAATTACGTGTGTGTAAATATTCCGCGCTGACTGTAATATCATGATCATTTCGTTACCAGTAGAATAGGGCCCTAGTTCAATTATGGTGTATAGTGTATTCGTGCGGCCATCGTGCGGCTAACTGACTGAGTATGACAGTGTGTGTGTGGCCGCTTATAGCCGGCCGTCCGCTGGAGCATGTGATTCACCTCACCTCGATATAATGCCCCACTCAGAACTAACTCTATTTGGGTCAATCGCCGTCACACTGACCTAACTGATAAACCATTTGGCAGCAACCACAGAAGGTCAAGTGTTTGAAAAACGACGTCTTTGTATATTCTGATTGTTTTGGGAATTATTATTTGTTTTTTGCGATTTTTCTTCAGTTACATTGTAATAAATATTATTAAAGAAAATGAATGAGCAATGCCATTAAACACCCTGTATAACAAAACTTATTCAAGAAAAAAAAATCTGTTGAGATGCGTCCCAATCCTTCAATGTTCTATATTCTAGCATTCTATAACCGAGGCCCCAGACTGATTTATGAACACTAGTTTATAGTATGTAAAACTGGTAGTAGCACTTTACATTTTCATATCAATATAATGTGCGAAGATTATAAAAGAAAAAATATACCTACTTTGTTACTTTGAGGAAGGTAAAGATATTGCTTTCACTACCATTTGTTAGCTCACAGGGTCGAAGTATTTGTTTCTTGGTAACAAATGATCTTTTCAAAATAACATACCTAATGGAATTTCAATCATAAACTGCTGTATAAAACAGCAATATTGCTCTGATCGATATTTTTTTAAATTTTCTTCTCTTTACGACGCGCGTTAACTGTAGATGTATTATTATAGTAAAATTATGGATTATTATGGTATAGTCAAAGTCAAAGTCAAAATCATTTATTCCAACTAAACCATAAATAGGTACTTTTGAAACGTCAAAATAGAGAAGTCGTCGGTCAGTCTGTTCGTCAGTGAAGCTAGGTGCTCATTCCAAATTGTAGATTCGAATATATATAGGTTTACCAGATGGTAAGCAATCAGCGCTGCCCATGGGATGTCCATGGCAACGGAGGAGTTACGAGTGCATAGCCCGCCCTTTAGGGATAAAGGTTTTGGATATCTAAGGATCGGGAAGGGGTGGGGGAGGGGGAGGGATTGGGCCTCACTCACACGGCAAAACACAACGCTGTGGTTGTTTCACGGCGGTTTTCTGTGAGGTCGTGGTATCACTACGGTCGAGCCGACTAATTCCTGCCGAAGCTTGACTCTCCCACGATTAAAGTTGTTGATATTTTTACTTTAATAATATTTCTTAGGTTCTGTTGATAGTACTGTTAGTTCTGACTTCCCTGTATATTGGCTCGTCCCACTGGCCGATAATCAGGTTATCTTTTGAGAGGGCTCGTTCCTTTAGGGCTGCCCTAACGGTTTGTCGTGTAATATATCTGTCGAGAACGAACGATAAGATCGTGGCAACCCTGACTGTGTTGATGTTTGAGTTAATAGGGGATTACAGCAACGAGTGACCGGAGGGATACAGGACGGAGGCAGTTTATTATACGATTAAAATTTCAAAGGAACGATCATTAGATGGGACCATTCGTTTCGGGGAATAAGCATTTCTGACGAAGGAGATATATTTGTAAAACACTTTTAACATCAAGCTTTCATATATACGCTGATATATCAATTGAAAATAAAATACTTAAATAAAAAACCGTACATTTATACTGATCGTTACGGTCATATTAATTTCATTCGTTCGTGAATGATGAACGAGCAGGTATACATTGCTTTTACGTTCGTTCACCCGCTGGAGCTTTGCAATTTAAAATCTTTTTTTTAATAGAATATCCGAACAATTCAAGGGTTAATGGATTTGATTTCTTTTATTCTAAAATACATGGATGCTAAGCTTGTTATTCCCAGCAGGGAAACAGAAATGAATTTCCACATTTAACATTAGTCATATTATTTAAGTGCATTAGTGTTTTATTAATGAATGACTAAGAAATTTTATTTTATAAATTTACAATATTTCTCCATAAGTGGGTTACGTTGTCATCATCAGCCTGTAAGCGCTCACTGCTGGGCATAGGCCCCTTCTCACACGAAGAAGGTTTGAGCATTAATCACCACGCTTGATCAAGGCGTATTAGCGTATTATTTTAAACTTTTAATTAGAAATTATTAGTTTAAGTGTTCTAACGATAGTTATAATTTGAAAGTTTTAATATTTTGGAAAAAGTCACATTACTACTTGCCAGGTTTCAACCCCGCTACCATACCATCTTCCGCAAACGAGAAGAGGGTGCCTAAAGTACCGGGACACCACGACATTATCGAGGTGTCACTTAGATAGTTTGTAAACAATTGAATTAGTGTGTAATTATTGTTTTATCTTGTTGCAGGCGGATGGGCGTCACCAAGCAACCAAAATCCAGTCGTCTCGACCCTCCCCTGAAATCGCCGCAGGTAACAAACGAGTTATAATTAAGCCTTGTTTCGCAATATCTAGATAGCCACTATCTACCCACGTAAATAAAATACATTTCGGGTACTTATACGAGTGTCAGGAATCAGACTGAATACAGGGCGAAATTAATAAATAAATAATAATAATACTGAATTTGTAGTAGGAGTTGAAGGAGACTCGGGGGAAGGATGTATCTCAGTAAGGTGCTGGTAGGGGTCTTGACCGTACTTCCGGGATTGCTCTGATAGCCGTGGGATGCCTCTCCTTCCCCAAGCAGCTCAACGTATGTTGCCCCCGTGTCGCTACATGCTAGCGGCCATTTCCGGGGGCCCATTAATTGAGTTTGCCAGTCACCCCCTGCCTGTTTATCCGTATGTATCAATATTGGTCAGGGGCAGGGGCCATAGTATTTCCATAGTTTTCATCCACTAGTCCATAGCAACCCATACCCATAACCTTATAAATTTTTACCACATTTCGCAATAGTCCTCCATCAACCGGGGATTGTCCTTGGGTGCACTTCTATAGTGCATACAGAGATAACTGCCGGCTGATGTCCCATTTCACTTATATTAAAGTTGTTCAAAGGGCCTCTGCGAGTTGGCTTCGGCCCCTCGTACGCCTTCCAAAAGTCCGGAACCCTGTATCCCGTGAGTGGAAAGGAACATACTGAATTTATATCGTCCCCAATCCCCCAAAACCCTAATCCCGAAAAGGTCGGCAACGCAATCGTACCTCATTCGTTGTTGCGTGTGTCCGTGAGCGGCGCTGATTGCTTACCATCAGGTAATGGATCTGCTCGTTTCCCGTCTTATCACATAAAAAAGGGAGTTAAGAGTAACGTTCTTTAATATCAGAAAGGGATTGTCTGACCAGGTGAGCTGATCATGCCTAGCAAACTGCTGCCCAATAATTTTGCGAGTATTTATATTGTCTATAACATATCATGTTATTTTGCGCCCAAATTTTACTTCTACGATAAAGTGGGCCGTCATCACTTCATTTTTAACTCCCGACGGGAAAAGAGGGGTGTTATAACTTTGACGTGTCTGTCTGTCTGTGGCATCCTGGAGCCTGAACGGATAAAGCGATTTCAATTTTTTTTGTATTACAGGTGACTTACGTGCGAGTGTTCTTAGACATGTTTGACGAATATCGGTTGAGCTGTTTAGAAGTTATGGGGGGTAAGTGGGGAAGGGTAGAAGGTCTGCAAATATACTCGAGTGGGGTCTCAAATGAAAGCGCACTGAAAGGGAATGTTGATGACTTAATCGAGAGAAAATGATATAAAATACCTATAAAAAGTATAAAATAAAAAATAAAGTTGACCCCTGACAAAATTGAAGAGACAAAATTTGATTCTTTTTAAAGGAATATTATGTTTTTTTGTCGGGTGTTTTTTTTAATTTTAAATTCATAGAGTTATTAGTATGGAAACTTAACGTGAATGACCACAGATCACAAATCCTAAACCATTTACGAAATAAACATCATATGTACATAAAATGATCCCGTTATCAATATGTACAAACATGTTTCCCTCGTTTACTACACAATGAATATGAAACATTATCGGTTCACTACAGTAAATAGTGGTCAGTTTCCATTCGACATTTACCTGCAAAATGCGCGGTCGCGGCCCAAACATTATAATTAGTGTTTAGCTAATTATAATGTTTGGGCCGCAATGTTATACGCATGCCCAATATGGTCCCCTCAATATAATGTATATAAAAATCAAATAGAACGGGTTCAAAAAAAATTCATTAATCACCTTAACTACCGCCTTCGTAAACCTCCAATGTCCTATGAAAATGGCTGTCGGACGTATGGATTGTTAACACTCGATGAGCGACGCGAAGTGTTGGACATGTGTCTACTTTACGACATACTGAATGGTAGGCTGGATTGTCCGGATTTGTTATCACAGATCAAATTTAATGCTCCTCTACGACGCACTCGCCATACGCCAATGTTGCATGTACCAAGGCATGCCACTAATTATGCTAGTAATTGTGTACTTACTCGCATTGCGCGAACCTACAACAGAAACTTCTCTCAGGTTGATATGTTTAACTGCACAAAACCTAGTTTTAAAGCCCGAGTTAAAAGGCTTATAATTGATATAGACAAGCAGCCGGTAACTTTGTTCCATTCACCATAAAGTATCAACTATGTTAATTCATATTTTAATTAATTTCTTTTTATAACAAGTAGTATATTTAACTTTCAATTCTATGTATAGTAAGACTTTATTTTTTAATATTGTTTAAAGTCCGTTCGCATGGTAAACACAAATTAAGTTAAGCAGGGAAACCTATTATTAGCCTTACTAAACTGTAATATCTTTATTTGTATTATACCACATGTATCGCTGTTGGTTTTCTAAATAAATAAATAAATAAATAAATAAATAAATTAGCTATTCAAATAGCTGCAATCATACCACTTGATTCCCATTACTAATTATTGTGAACTGATATTTGAAAATAGATATTTCGTTCTGTAGGTAATAACAGGTTACTTAATTAAAATCTTTGTGATGTTTTGAGTTCAGTCGAAGTGTTCAAGTGAAATAAAGGTAGTGTAGAAATTGTCCTCAAACCTAACCAGCCACCAACCAACGTTTTCCAGTTGGTGTCGTAAGAGAACCTGGTCTGTAATGTGAAGTGATTTTGATATCTCTACGCTTCACATTACAGATGTATGTAGACAAGAACCAAGCGTGGGAAAGGTATAAATGGAGCCACCAACCAGCAGGACCGGACCACAGCCTCATATAAACACTTGCATTGTGTCTCGCCTTGTGAGTGATCTCTCACTCGTCTATTCACGATTCGTCTATACGAGTAAATCCTGATCCTAAACTCTCAAATGCCTAACACAGTAATGGCTAGCAATGCCTCTTCCAACTCCAATTGCAAGCCAATTGCCTACTATCAGGTGATCAAAACAATCAGTTCAACATGATTCAATTAAAAAACATCTTGCTTGACTTTAGAATTTTCTCCCTTGTTGTAGGTGCGTGTACAAACATACAATTCCACATACACCATGTTTGTCGTTTTATATCAATAGGAAAGTCCAAAAGTAAACTTTCACGACCTATGATAATGACTAAAACAAGCAAATGTTGTATTACGTAGATAAGATCTATTTAATACAGTCACTTGATTTCACAACGAAAACTTATCCTGGATCGATATAGTTTTAGCAAGAATTTCTATTCCACGATACCTTTTTGCAATCACTTGCCAAACCCGTGGCAGTTAAAGATTTATGATAAGAATCTAATGTTTTAAACATTACGTGGGCTGTTTACAGACCGTTTTAAATAGGTATTTCAAAGTTTGTCTACTGTTTTTGTAACTAATTTAGAAAAATATGTGTTAGAACGGCAAACGAGCAGACGGATTACCTAATAGTCAGTAATCAGTGTTGCCCATGGACACCCACGGAGCTACTGTTAGAGAATTGGAGATTTAGTGATTGGGGGAGAAGAAAGATTGGGCCGCCGGTAACTTTACTCACATGGCGAAACACAACATTGCGGTTGTTTCACGCCGATTTTCTGTGAGAACACCCCCCCCCCCCCTCCCCTATCACCCCGAGTTGACTTCTTTCGTGCCGAAGCATGGATGTCCCACACTTATGATGATTAAAAAAAATACAAAAATAGCTGGTCCCATTTGGGCGCCAAAACTCAAATTGTCGCCCAACAGTGACAATTTAAAGGATATTCAGATGAATAGTTCTATTTGTCGTTTTAAAAGTATTTTTTAGTTTTTTTTATATAATTAACTGTGGACAGGTGCAGACGGCAGTATGACAGTAGCTCGCGGCGATGGTTCCCCCGAGCGGCTGGGCGGTGCGCTCCGTCGCCTCCACTACAAGGCGACGAGGCGCGCGCACTCCGCCGCAGCCAGGCATCACAACTCCAACACAACACCGCCAAAGGTAGGCTGTAGATCTTTACACAAAAACGGTCAATGGTTAATTACGATTTATTTACTAAATAATAGGTCTTTACCTATGAAATTGCCGTTTTGCATAAAAATATTTAAACGAATTTTTTGATTTGAAATGCGATGAAAATGTAACACTAATCAATAAACAAATGACTTCTTTTGGATAAAGAATTGCATGTTTTTAAAACAAAATTAAATAGCCTTAGCCTAACAAAAACTATTTTGATTTGAAATGGCCAGTACTGCAGAGCGGCAATTTCATAGGTAAAGACCTATTATTAATCCTAACACAGCAGCATTCCACTAAAGGCCCTATAGGGCTGATGTTCCGCCGCGGTTGTGGGGTACGCGCAATGAGTCAACACGGGCTCGGCCCAGAGCAGGTGAAGGAACGGGGTTTTTAGTCAAGTCAGTAAGAGTCTCTCCCCTTCAACCCTGGGCGGGAGAATTCATTTGACGATTTTCCCTTTATAAAAAAAAAACACAGCACTGCATTGCCTAATCGTTTATCTATGACCTAGACCTAGAATTTTCCAACCTATTTTAATACAAACTTATAAAGTTCACAATGCATTATAGAATTTTAACAGTTTTGGTTAAGACAAAAGGGACAATAAAACCATTCAGGAATGCACCAGCGAGTGTTTTAAGCTAAGCTGTGTAACTTATACAATATAGAAACTAACCCACCGTATTTACTTTTTAAACGTTCCAGATCAAGTGAATATATTTTCTCAGCTTCGAGTGTGCTTGAGATGAGGGAGTGTATGCGTAATGTCATTTCCCCACCGGTAATAGAACCGCGATGCATCCTGCTATGTATTGCGTTATAGATGCATAGCTAACACTTCGTCAATATGTTTATTTTATAAAGAAACTAGTGACCTGCTCCAGCTTCGAACGGGTGCATTGCCTATACTATAACTCTCCATTATTTAATAGTTGTCAATTTGCAAATATACTTTCTGATTGAATCACTTTATTAAACAAAAGCTCATCAAAATCCGTTGTGTAGTTTTAAATATTTAGGCATACATAGGGACAGAGAAAGCGACTTTGTTTTGTACTATGTAGTGATACACAACTCTGTGAATTTAAAAAGATTCTTAAAATCCATCACTAGTCAATAGATATGTATATTTTCTGGGCTTTTTCATATCAATCAATATAAAATTTTGAGAACAAGTATTTAAGAGCCCTCGATATCCGTTAAACCATATTAAGGGTTAAACGTTGAACTAAAGAAATGATTATGACAACATAAAAAAAGGGTTTGGCAAAAGACTATAAAGTAAAACTAAAGAGCTCTTGTTTTTCTACGCGCTTCAAAGAAAAGGTCTTGGCATAGCAACGAAGAATTTTTCTTTTCATGTTACAAATAAAACTTGTTATTTAGCTTATATTGAAGTTTACATAAACAACAAGATTCAGAAGGTCACAAGTTTACAATACGCATAAATTAATTGTAATAGCACTAGAAAGTTTTGTAATAAACTAGCGACCCGCCCCGACTTCGCACGTCTACAATGTTGATATTAAATTTGTATATTTATTAGCGGACCCTCTCCGAAAACCTCCACATATCAAATTTCAACAAAATCGTTAGGGCCATTTCCGAGATCATATGCCTTTTCAAGCATTCAGCGCTATCTGGGCTGCTTTGTGAATCTAAACCATCCAGGGTTTCACTCTAATGCATACAGAACAAATGATTTAAATCGGTCGAGCTGTTCAGGAGGAGTTCAATGACATGCGCACATATAGTAGAATTATATAAATAAACATATAACAGAATATGAAACCTAGGCGTTTACTTAGAGTAAGTTGTTGCCACAGTCAACGTGTGCCAACAAAACTGTATTGCCTCTATAAGCATCGATACTTAAGGCTAAGACTTCACTTCAAGTTTTCTTTGGTTATGAATCGCGATATTTTCAATCCTAAGTCCACTAAGATATTATTTTTAGCGGGGGAGAGCCATGCTTCGGCTCGAATGGGTCGGCTCGACCGGAATGATACCATGGTCACACTGAAAACCGGAGTGAAACAACCACAGGGTTTGTTCGACGCTGTAAGTGAGGTTACCAGAGGGCCAATGCTTCCCCTCCCTCAATCACAAAATCCCCAAAATGGTCAGCAACGCACAAGCTACTCTTCTGTTGTTGCGGGTGTCCATGGGCAGCACTGATTGCTTACCATCAGGTAATCCATTCGCTCGTTTGCCGTCTTATCGCATAAAAAAAGAACTTCAACACTAGAGCTTTTCTCCGCTACAAATTGGTAACAATAAATATCAAAGAGAAAACAGAAAATAAGGTCGCTTTAAGTCGTTTTCTTATTTCACAAACTCACGTGGTTGGAATCCAATTTAAGCGTATGGCCACACTAGTGTGGTCTAAGCCTTACAGAGTAACCTTCACACACAATACCGGTGGCGGGAACTTTCCGATATTTTTTGTTGAATAGTCCTCACAGTCGGTTGACTTTATTTTGAATATTATCTATTGATGCAAAGCCAAGTGAAAACAAGTAAAGCTTTAACAAAGGCCCAGTCAACAGCAGGTCGTATTCCAAAAACAACATAATAGTTTGTATTGGAACTTTTCAAGGTATACGAACTACGAATCTTGATAAAATGTTTAATAAAAAAAGTATATTCCTTTTTAAAAGAAACACTGCGTTAATGTTACTCCTTTTATGTTGCGGGTTTCTGTCGCCGGAGCTGTTAGCTTATAGACGATCGGTTTGTCCTCAATTCTAGAAAAAGTATACAATCTGATAGTTTCTAAGAAACTTCAAAATATTCATTAGAAATACGCAATTAATCCAGTCGTCTGTCGGGCTAATTGTATAGTCTAGCTGTACTTCATTGAGATGCCATTACAATGTAAGCTGCGATCAAATAAAGTTTCATTAAAACTAATCTCAGAATACATTTCAAAGTATTTTATGCTTTTTTAAAGAATAAGCCAGCGATTCATCTTAAAACACGTAAGTAGACATTTATTGTGAAGCAAAGTAAAGAAATAAAGTCGATTTAAGATAAAATTTACACAAAAAGGCTTTTTCTTTAAAATCTTGTAAATCTAATTCTTATCGAGACGTGTCGAATTTTGTGTTAAAATTGCGATACAGAACAATGGTTTAATAATGCGATTTGGTGGATGAATGTAGTGATAGGGGGGAGTGGGGAGGGTATCAATAATAAATGACACGTTCACATAGTTCAGCGGCGTAACGCAAGCACCACGCGAGTGCATGACCTCACATGATGGATGACAGCACCTACCATTGTCGCGAAACTCGATCGTAATTCATTCTAACAACAAAACTAATGTCAATAACAATGAATGGTCCCACTTAGCATTCATTGCTCGAACGAATATATCAGAAATCTCTGTCAAAGTCGATTAATGGATTTGAATTCAATACTTGAATACTCTTATCACAAAACAAAACTAGAGTTTCTTTTGAAGTAATCTGCACTTAACGAAAGACAATATACCTAAATGTCAAAGGAATAAGAACGATATAATACTTATAATTAATCCTGTGAGTAATTTATTGCTAGCTGTAAATAAATACATATTAGTTTCTTTCAAAATTTGATAAAATTAATAACTTTGATTTGTTATCTCCACACCAAAAGTTACGTCACTTTCAGCTTTAATAAGTTTAATCAATGTATGTAATTGACTTCTTTATAAGTATGTAATGAGTTTTAACTTCGATTTATCTATTGGGTACAAGCTACTGACGCGTGGTTTCACCCGCTGCTCCATGACGTTTTATAGCCTATTGTACCCCCTTCATACAAGCTTACAAATTTTTCCTTTATAATATTAGTATAGATTTATAAAGTCTTAACTGCATTATTAAGAAATGTAAGAAATATTTTCCCCTTTTGAATGGAGGTATGAGAGAACAGGGTGGAAAGTTCCTCATCCTCCATTCAAAAGGGGAACCAGATAGGTGTTATGTCTGGTGGGCTACAGTTACTGCCCGACGGTTGTTGTCGGGATTTTGTACCTATTCTAATTGCACCGATAACCGTTATACCGCGATGTAGAATGTTGATCGTGATTGGTGCTGTTGCTGCTTGCTGTGCGGTAGATGGCGCTACTATATATTGCAGTTCAATCTACTTTAATTTCTTCGGATGAATAGGCAGCTATGTGACAGAACATCCGATAAACTACCACTCGTTGGAACTAAACTTATCCTGCTAAATAGCGGACATTTTTTATTTTATTTCAATCGACTGAGGAATTTAGTCAACGTATCAATCGAGTTCCAGTAGTACGGGAATCGTTGTAATTATGAAATAGGCGATGAGTGAGTGAACATGATCGATGTCTGCCCCATTGATGTCGGTAACCGATTAGTTTCCACTCGTCACGCACGTGTTGCCTATTGGGAATCCTCCCAGCGTTGGAAATGTAGTCCCTGGTTCAGTAAATATTATTAAGTTAGTAAGTAGGAAAGACAGTAGGCACGTGTGTGTAGCGTGATAGCAACTTGTTATATCTGTTGGTAGTTAGTTCTTGTAAGAAGTTAGGGCGTAAGTATCGAGCAAGTATCTTGATTCTATTGTCTGTGTCATGTATACTGTTTCATTATTTGACTGCACGGTTGGCGCGGTGGTTGGGCAACTGGCTGCCGCGCAACGTGTCGCGGGTTCGATTCCCGCACGGAACAACTCTTTGTGTGATCCACAGATTGTTGTTCCGGGTCTGGGTGTGATGTGCATGTGAAATTGTATGTTTGTAAACGCACCCACGACACAGGAGAAAATCCTAATGCGGGGCAACGTAGTATTTTATTTCGGTAGTTATTTCATTTATTTATCTTTATAACACTTATTTCAGCATCTTATAAGTAAAGGCCACAAAACCGTTGCAATGATTCGACTATGAGGTCAATGAGTCTCAGTGTTCCTATTATAGAAAATACTGGAATAATATTAATTTAAACAGTTAAAAGAAAACA